ATGAAGAAAATGTGAGAAACACACACATACACACATGAACATTACTCAACCACACACACACAAAAAGGAAAACCTTGCCATTTGTGGCAACATAAATGAATTTGAGGGCATTAAATTAAATGAAATACGTCAGAGAAAGATATATAACGGGTCATTTCACTTATACATGGAACTTAAACACAAGAAAAAGGTACACACCCAAGTTCAACAGACTGGTGGTGGCCAAAGGTGGGGGTGAGGGTGGGAGGGTGAAATGGGTGAAGGGAGTCAAAAGATATAAACTTCTGGTTATAAAATAAATAAGTTCTGGGGAAATCTAATGTACAGCATGGTGACTATTATAAATAATAATGTATTACATATTTGAAAATTGCTAGGAGAGTAAAAGATGTTCTCATCACAAGAAAAAAAAATTGTTGTAAATATGTATGATAACAGATGTTAAGCAGATTTAATTGTGGTGATTATTTCATAATATATACAAATACTGAATAATTATGTTGTATGCCTGAAACAAATATGTAATATGTCAATTATACCTAAATAAATACATAAATAAATAAAATATACATGTAAAAAGACTGAAGACCTTTTTCATCATTGAGCTATTTTGCCTTCAATTTTAGAATTTAAAACATAATGAAGAGAAGCAAAATCCTAACTTTCTTGATAATAGTCAGGATAGTAGTTAACCTGGGATGGGGCATAGAAGAGGATTACACATGGAACTTTTATACTTATAGAATGGTTACCCCAGCTTTCATTTTACTAGTCTCTAAAATGTACGTATGCTTTTAAATATATTTCATATATTATATTTCACAATAAAAAATAAAAACTAGAAATAAAAAATACATTTCCAAAGTATAATGACAAAACACTGTTTAATCTTAGATAGAGGGAGAAACAAATTAAACAGAGCTCTATTATTCTAAGTGTTCTAAGGTTACTTCAGATTATGTTTGCAACAGCTTGGCTCAGTCATGGAAAAATTGCCATTGGATTCCACTCAATCCCAAGAGTCATCACTTTTCTTTGTTGGTCAGTTGTTATAAAGGGTGCCACTGGTTCACTGGGAGCCACTGTTTATGATCATGAAATCTGAAGGTTATAAGGAATCTCAGAGGGCTTCACTCCAAACACATTCATCTCCAGATAAGGGAACATTAGACCCCTTAGCTTCCAAACAACATGTTTTCCCTGCTCTGCTCCCAGCTGTTATTATTATTCACCAATGTGACACAAAGAAAGGGGCTGAGCCCATTCTTTCAATTGCCTTGCAATAGTGACTAGAGAAAAGGTGGATTTATATCAATCATCGGCAATCTGTCAAAGAGTTAATATGTACCCCCAAAGATGCTAGCACCTACAGAGGAACCCAGTCCTCAGTCAAAGAAGGCACTCCATAAACATATGTTGTAAGTGATTTTATTGAAAAGTATAAAACAGGGTTTCAGCCCTACAGACTTTACATATAAATGAAAAATGCCAAATAATTCTTAATCAACATGGAATTCAGTGGTGTTCTGGGGCAAACTACATAATACAAACTATAAGATAGAGAAATAAGACAAAAGGTTGATGTAGTATGGAGTAAAACGCAGGAAGGGGTCTTGGGAGAGAAGAATTGAGAATTGAAAAATTGGTAAAGAAAGCATTCTATGATTTCTCAAAGGAACCTGTTGACATTTTTATACCTGCTTCTCCTTTCTATATTATTTAAAAATTTTAACAGGCAAAAAACCCCCAAAAAACAAAAAGAAAAAAAAAATTTTAACAGGCATACTAATTTGTTATAAATAGTTTTACCTGTTATAATTATATCTGGGGAAAGAGTTCCCATCCCCCCCCAACATGGAACTTTTGGAGGAGGAAAAAGAAACCTTTTAAATGCTAATTATAATTCTTTAAGACAGAAACATTTTTAAATAGTAAGAGACAAATGTTCTTAAGTTTTAAAATTCACCAAAATAAAACTAGATCCCCAAATATTAGCAGGAAAAAAAAACCACTTAAAAATTCCATGATTGTAACCTAACACCTACACTAAACTAACAGAACATTTGGGTGACATGAGCAATGGATAAAGGGCTCCTATTTCCAGGTACTTTAATGAGGACAGAACCATACTGGTAAGAAAAAGAACACCGGAGAAGAGATTCAGTTCTAGTTCTAAATAGATGAGTAAATGTAATTAAGCCACTTCTCAACTGAAACAGGTGTCTGCAAAAGGAACATTTAAGAGACAACCTAAATTTGTTACTCTACCTGTACACTTCCCAAAGTCAGTCAGATGTCATTCTCTTACGGCAAGCTATAGGTTAGGCATTAATCCATGAGGGCAGCAAAAAACAAATGAATTTTTTTTTAATATATTTTTTATTGATTAAGATATTACATATGTGTCCTTGTCCCCACGTTACCCTAACCACCCCCCCACCCCCGCTCATGCCCTCACCCCCCCGTTGTCCGTGTCCATTGGTTAGGCCTATATGCTTGCATATAAGTCCTTTGGTTGATCTTTCCCCCTTACCCCCACCCTCCCCACCTTCCCTCCAAGGCCCGACAGTCCAATCAATGCCTCTCCGTCTCTGGATCAGTCCTTGTTCATCAGTTTATGTTGTTCATTATATTCCACAAATGAGTGAGATCCTGTGGTATTTATCCGCTCTCCAGTTCCATCCATGCTGTGGCAAATGGTAAGAGTTCCTTTTTCTTCTTCCTCTTCTTAAAGAATACCTTTCAGCATTTCATATAATGCTGGTTTGGTGGTGATGAACTCCTTTAGCTTTTTCTTATCCGTGAAGCTCTTTATCTGACCTTCTATTCTGAATGATAGCTTTGCTGGATAAAGTAATCTTGGTTGCAGGCTCTTGCTATTCATCACTTTGAATATTTCTTGCCACTCTCTTCTGGCCTGCATGGTTTCTGTTGAGAAATCAGCTGACAGTCGTATGGGTACTCCCTTGTAGGTAACTGACTGTCTTTCTCTTGCTGCTTTTAAGATTCTCTCTTTATCTTTTGCTCTTGGCATTTTAATTATGATGTGTCTTGGTGTGGTCCTCTTTGGATTCCTTTTGTTTGGGGTTCTCTGCGCTTCCTGGACTTGTAAGTCCATTTCTTTCACCAGGTAGGGGAAGTTTTCTGTCATTATTTCTTCAAAAAGGTTTTCAATATCTTGCCCTCTCTCTCCTTCTGGTACCCCTATAATTCTGATGTTGGTACGCTTAAAGTTGTCCCAGAGGTTCCTTACACTATCTTCATATTTTTGGAATCTCTTTTCTTTTTTCTTTTTCGGTTGGGTATTTTTTGTTTCTTTGTATTTTCAAATCTTTGACTTGATTCTTGGGATCCTCTTGTCTGCTGTTGGATCTCTGTAAATTATTCTTTATTTCAGTCAGTGTATGCTTAATTTCTAGTTGGTCCTTTTTCATGTCCTCCATGGTCTCACTATACTTATTGAGGGATTCATTAAATTTATCGGCGGTTTCCATAAAATTCTTGAAAAACCTTATAAACGTGGCCTTGAACTCTATATCCAGTCGTTTGCTTTCCTCCATTTCTGCCATTTGTGACCTGTTTCTTTGTCTCCGCATTTTGGCTGCTTCCCTGTGTTGATAGAGTGGCCCTGCGCGCCAGGTGTCCTGTAGGGCCCAGTGGCTCAGCCTCCCCAGTTACCTGAGGTGGACACTCTTGGTGCACTCTTGGTGCCTTGGTTGTTGTAGGATCACTGGGAGGAATTGACCTCCAGGCCAACTGGCTGTGAGAATCAGCTGTGTCTGAAGTGGGAGAACTTCTGTGCTGAAGACACCCTTCTGGGGCAAGACTTGCTTCAGTGGGGCTTTGGTGCTCACAAGTCTGCTCCCTGAGTGTGTCCCTTATGGATCTGAGGAGTTGCAATCTGGATGGTCCCCCTCTGACCACTGGGTACAGTGGCTCCTGGATCTAAGGAGGTGCTAATTCAGCCTCTGCCTGAGGCTACACAGCAGGAGCCACGAAGAGGCTCAGCTGTGAAGCAATGCAAGCCGCTGCGGGGCCTTGGGCCTTCTCTTGGAAGTTCTGGGTCTGCCTGGCTCAGCTGCAGTTAGGTACATTCACATGCAAAAGCCTCTGCCGCAGCCTGGGTGGGGCGGGGTCTCAGGGAATCAAAGGGCGGAGAAAGCAGCTATGGCTGATTCTCCGCCCGGAGTCGCGCGTCTCAGTGTCCCGGTAACGGCTGCAAGCACCTCTGAGGGAAAGTCGCCCTCAAGTTCGCCCGCTGCCCGACAGACCAGCTTCTCCCCGTATGAGTCCTGGGTCCCCAGAGACTTGCCGGAACCGGAGTTCAGAGCAGTCGGGAGCTTGTGATTCAAAAAGACAGCCGCATCCTCAGGTGCCACCCCCTTTCCGCGCGCACGCGCGCGGGAGCCGCCGTACCTCTGCACTTCACCTCCGCAGCTCCTCTGGCTCTCAGCGTGCTTTTCTTTCCTTCTAGTTGTAGAATTTACACTCAGCTAGCCTTCCTGTTGTTCTGGATGATGTCTGCTCTGTCCTTTGCGGTATTTTCCAATTGTTGTGGGAGGCGGCTATTTCCCGGTGTTTATCTATGCCGCCATCTTAGTTTCTCTCAAAAAACAAATGAATTTATGTACCCTAGAATTCTTCTACTGAAGCAGAATTCTGCAATTGCTATAAGCCAGCGATTTTCAAACTTTTACATCTGATGCCACATAAAACTAATTTCTAAAATTATGTGGCACACTTTCAGCTTTGGGCTCAGAGGAGGCATAGGTGCAACTTTCTTCAGTCTTTCCAAATCCAGGTTCATCTGATACCAGCCGCCTCCACCATGCCACAGAAGTTCAATCCCAAGGGGATCTAAGTTGTATACCTAAGTCTCAATGATGATGAAGTCGGTGCCAAGTTTGCCTCGGTCCCCTAGACTTGTCTCCAAAAAGCATTGGTGATATTGCCAAAGCAACCAGTGATTGGAAGGGTCTGAGGATTACAGTGAAACTAACCATTCAGAACAGAGAGGTCGAGACTGAGGTAGTGCCTTCTGCCTCTGCCCTGATCATCGAAGTCCTCAAAGAACTGCCACGAGACAGAAAGAAGCAGAAAAGCATTAAGCACAGTGGAAATACCACTTTTGATGAGAATGTCAACATTGCCGGACAGAGGAGACACCGATCTAAGTTAGAGAAATCTCTGGAGCCATAAAAGAAATCCTGGGGACTGCCCAGTCTGTGGGCTGCAATGTTGATGGCTGCTACCCTGATGACATCATAGATGGCATCAACAGTGGTGCAGTGGAATGCCAAGCTAGTTGAGAAGTACAAAGGAAAATATTTCAATTATAGATCATTTGACAACCAATAAAAATAAAAAAATTCTGCAGCACACCAAAAAATATTTTTGTCTATCTAACAATAAAAAAGGGTATAATTTTTAATTTTTTTTTTTTCAAAGAGAGGAAGGGAGAGGGACAGAGAGATGGAAACATAAATGTTAAGAATCATTGACCAGCTGCCTCCTGCATGCCTCCTACTGGGGATTGAGCCCACATCCCAGGCATGTACCCTGACCAGAAATCAAACCGTTACCTCCTGGTTCATGGGTCAACGCTCAACCACTGAGTCACACCAGCTGGCAGTATAATTTTGACTCATTCACACCAGACAGCTATTTTTGTCATTTTTTAAATTTGACAATCTAAGGGAAAAGAGGTCAGCGCCCTTGACTAAATAGGTATTGCATGTTTTAAAAATTCTTGTGGCACAGTGTGCCATGGCACACGGGTTGAAAATCACTGCTATTAAGTCTTATGTTGAAACAGGGCATCAAAGAAATAAGCTTGAATTTTCCATGAAACATAATGCACTAAATACCTCTGCATTTACCTCTGTCCTACCCATAACTCCACTAAAATGGAATTAAAAACATAAAATACACAAGGACAAAGAATAGAAAACAACTATAACAAAGGTTTCGGAAGCTAAAACGCAAATGGTTATTTGACTTAGCAGAGCAAAGAAAGCAAAAGCTCCGAGCATGTTAAGGAAAAGCCCCAAACAAACTGAATTGTATTGGGATAAACCAGAAAAGCTCGGAATGCCTCTGAAAGTGGAGAATGCAGGTAGGCCTAAAAAAAGGAAAACAGGGTAAAAGTTCCACCCCAAGATTCCCTCCTTAACTCCAGGTATCCACTGTTCGGAGGACAGGAAGTGTGTTCTCTGGAAACTGAAGAGACTATATACTTAAGCACAACCAAGGCAGCTCTACCAGTCTAAAAATCTGGGGATTAATGGAAACCTGAAAGGTAAATATCCCCAGCTCTTTCCCCACTGAGCTCCCCAAATGTGCAGCCAGGTGTGTAAGCCAATGACTGAAGCATTCTGTCTGGAGGAGAACCTGGCCAAGAGAAAAACATCTACAAATACTGACTGCTAGAGGTAACCCCCACCCCACCCCCAAAAGTTGGGTCCCTGGCTAATTACTTTATAATGAAAACTACCAGTTAACTTTTGGAAGCCCCCAATGTGGCAAATTCAGCTTTCAGTTTTTCCATGGTTCATTCTGGAATATGAGTAAGATAGCCAAGGTTATACATTTAAGGAAATTCCATAAATAAAAAACCAAAACAAATAAACAAGGAAATAGAGATGGTACAGGAGGCTAAAGAAATATTTTTAAAATTAACATACTCAGAAGAGAACTATTTCAAAAATAGAAAACTATTAATACTCTTGAAAATTGAAAACAGGATAGGAGAAATATAAAACTCACTAGAAGAGTCTGAAGATGAAGTTTAAGACATCTTTGAGAAAGTAGAGCAAAGAGACAAAAAGATAAAAAATGAAAAAGATAGGGAAATTAAAGGACCCATCAGCCTATAAGTTTCAAATACAAATAGTAAGAGTTCAAGAGAGAAAGAATAGGAAAACTGGGGGAGAAGGAGGAATTTGGTTTGAATTTAAGAATTTAAGAAAAATCTCAGAAATGAAAAATCCAAATTGAAGCCCTCATGTGCCTAGTACAACAGATAAAACAAGACCTCCAGTGAGGCTGATTATCATCAGGGACAAAGATAAGATCCTAAAAGCAATCAAGAGGGGGAAAAATCACGACTCTAAATACCATCACACTTTCATTATCAGTAACAGAAACAAGAAACCAATAAAACAGTATTTGTTAAATTCAAAAGAAAATACCATCCAATCTAGAATTCTATACCCAGGGAAACTATAAATCAATTATGAGAGAAAATGAAGACATTTTCACATATGTAGGTTTACAAAGACATTTATTCCCCATGCACCCTCTTCTTAGGAACTTTATATAAGAATTGCTTAATTAAAGTATAAACAATAAAGGAGGAAGTTATGGGGTCCAGGAAACATAGGGGTCTCAACATTGGGAGGTGAAGGAAAAACCTAGGATATGTGAGAAAGTAGATCCCAAGATCATACTGAGCAGGCCTAGAGAACAATCTGTACAGATTTATAAAAATAGCAGTCTAAAGCCTGGCCGGTGTGGCTCAGTGACTGAGCGTCGACCTATGAATGGGGAGGTCACAGTGCGATTCCGGTCAGTCCATATGCCCGGGTTGCAGGCTCAATCCCCAATGTGGGGCGTGCAGTATGCAGCCAATCAATGATTCTCTCTCATCATTGATGTTTATATCTCTCCCTCTCCCTTCCTCTCTAAACTCAATAAATCAATAAAAATATATTTTAACAAACAGCAGTCTAAGACCAATGTTTAGAAAAATGGCATTAAATATCAAAAGAAATAACTTGAAGAGTAGAAAAAGGAGGTAACTGGAGAGGCAGAACGCTGGGGGGGGGGGGGGGAGCAGGTAGTATACTTTATATAGGCTTAGTATTGATAAATATTAAATTTTAAAAGACTCTTGCCCTGGCCAGGTGGCTCCATTGGTTGGAGTGTCCTCCAGTTCACAAAAAGGGTGCAGATTAATCCCCAGTGGGATGCATTTGAGAGGCAATCAATCAATGTTTCCCTCTCCCAAATCAATAAAAACATATCCTCAGGTTTGAATTGAAAATTTTTTTAAAGATTCTTGAAAGGCTAAAAAAAAATGTTTTAAAATCACATCTAAAAATAACATTTCCCAAGCAAGATTTCTGAGGGGTGGAGGGGCGGGGGGGGGGGGGGAGAATAATGAAAGAAAAATAAATTTTTAAGACAGAGCAATATCAAAGTCCTTGGAAAATTCTATATCTTAGCATAGAATGTGACTGAAAAAATAAGAGCAGGAAAAAATGTTCTGCATATAAATACTTACTTACTCAAAAGTCTAACTACACCAGCAAAAAGAGAAAAATGGAAGAAAACATTTTAACATATTATGTATTATTGGAAAAAGTTTATGGTTTATAGCTACGTCAAACACATCACAAATTAAATTTCCCTTTTCACTCAGTTAAGCAGATGCTAAACCAGGGGTGGGCAAACTTTTTGACTAGAGGGTCACAATGGGTTCTTAAACTGGACCGGAGGGCCGGAACAAAAGCATGGATGGAGTGTTTGTGTGAACTAATATAAGCATCATTACATAAAAGGGTATGGGCTTTTTGTTTTTAGTTTTATTCATTTCAAACGGGCCGGATCCAGCCCGCGGGCCGTCAACAGAAAAACTTGATTGCATCACATTTTAGTCAGAACTGAAAACACTTGAAAAACCATGTTGCTTCCTTAGGAAAGGAAAGCACAAATACTGTGAATGTGTTGGAACAAGGGAAAAAGCATTCTGAATTGGTCTTTATCCTCTCCTGAAGACTGAACAAATAATAGTGGGATTCATGTACAAATCTGAAACAACTGCTGCCCAGCTTTCTCTAATAACCCAAGAAGTTGCATCTCAATTAGGAAATAAGCTTTTCTCTATCCTCAAATACTTTACATCTATATTTTCTATGGCCCTTTCACAGAAAAACTGGAAGTATAATATGGTACTTGTTTATCATCCTATCTAATAAAAAGAGAAACGTGGTAATTAGCCGTACGTCCGCTACCCTTCCCATTGGCTAATCAGAGCGATATGCAAATTAACTGCCAGCCAAGATGGCGGCCAACAGCCAGGCTACTGACACGAACAGGAGGCTTGCTTGCTTCAGTGATGGAGGACTCCAACGTTCCCCGCCTGCCGTTGCTGGGCTCTGAGCTGCTAAGAAACATTGTTACAAATATAGAAGCTAAACAAAACCCCAGAAACCTGTTTTCAGTCAGCCGGGATCTCAGAGCTGGAGTCGCAACAAAGTTTCAAATACAGAAAGTAAACAAAGCCAGAAACCTGCTTTCAGTAGCGAGGTCTCACAGCTAAAGCCGGCTCTCAGCTCCAGTGACAGCCATAAATCCAAGAATTAAAAAAAAAGGAAAAAAGGAGCAGTTGGGAGCTTCAGTCACCCGCCAGCCTGAAAATGGCCCTCAGCCCCTCACCCAGACTGGCCATGCACCCCAGTGGGGACCCCCACCCTGAAGGGTGTGTGACTAGCTGCAAACAGCCATCATCGCCTCATCCAGGCTGGCCAGGCACCCAAGCGGGACCCCCACCCTGATCCAGGACACCCTTCAGGGCAAACCAGCCAGCCCCCACAAGTGCACCAGGCCTCTATCCTATATAGTAAAAGGGTAATATGCCTCCCAGCACCGGGATCAGCGTGACAGGGGGCAGCGCCCAAACCCCCTGATCGCCCTGCGGCTCTGTGTGTGACAGGGGGTGGGGCCACAACCTCCCTATCCGCCCTGCTCTGCTCGTGACAGGGGAAGGCGCCCCAACCCCCTGATCGGCCCTGCTCTGTGCCTGATAGGGGGGAGCTCCCCAACCCCCTGATCGGCCCTGCTCTGTGTGTGACAGGGTGGAGCCGCAACCTCCCCATCGGCCCTGCCCTGAGTGTGACAGGGGGCAGCGCCCCAACCCCCCAATTGGCCCTACCCTGAGTGTGACTGAGGTTGGCATCACAACCTCCTGATCGGCCCTGCTCTGTGCATGACAGGGGGGAGCTCCCCAACCCCCTGATCGGCTCTGCTCTGTATGTGACAGGGGTGGCACCACAACCCCGATGGGCGTTGCTCTGTGTGTGACAGGGGGTGTGCCGCAACCTCTCCATCGACCCTGCCTTGAGTGTGACGGGGGCAGCGCCCCAACCCCCCAATCGGCCCTAGCCTGAGCGTGACTGAGGGTGGCATCACAACCTCCTGATCCGCCCTGCTCTGTGCATGACAGGGGGCGGCGCCCCAACTCCCCAAATGGCCCTGCTCTGAGCCTGACCAGGGGCTGCACCTAGGGATTGGGCCTGCCC